TAAAACAGGAAGAAATAGAAAACTTGAAAAGACCAAAAAGCAGTGAAGAAATTGAATGAGTAATGAAAACAGTCTCAACAAATAAAAGTCCAGGATCAGATGGCTTCACAGGCCAATTCTACCAAACATTTAAAGAACTGTTAATACCTATTCTTCTCAAATTATTCCAAAAACTAGAAGAGGAAGGAAAACTTCCAAACTAATTCTATGTGGCCAGCATTACCCTGACACCAAAACCAGACAAGACTCCACTAGAAAAGAGAACTACAGCCCAATATCCCTGATGAACATGGATGTAAACATTCTCAACAAGATACTAGGAAACCGAATCCAATAATACATTAAAAAAAATCATTCACCATGATCAGATGGGATTTATTCCCGAGTTGTAAGAGTGGTTCAATATTCACAAATCAATCAATGTGATACATCACATTAATAAAAGAAAGGATAAGAACAATATGATCATTTCCATAGATGCAGAAAAAGCACTTGAAAAAGTACAACATTCATTCATGATAAAAACCTTCCACAAAGCAGATATAGAAGGAACAGAGCTCAGCATAATAAAGGACATATACAAAAAACCCACAGCTAATATCATCCTCAGTGGGGAAAAACTAAGAGCTTTTCCTCTACAGTCAGGAAGATAGATGGGATGCCTGGGTGACTCAGTTGGTTAAGCATCCAATTTCAGCTCAGGTCATGATCTCATGGTTTGTGAGTTTGAGCCTCATGTCGGGCTCTGTGCTGACAGCTCAGAGCCTGGAGTCTGCTTCTGATTCTGTGTCTCCCTCTCTGTCTTGGCACCTCCCCACTTCTATGTGCTCACTCTCTCTGACTCTCTTTCTCAGAAACAATAAATGAATAAATTAAAAAAAAGATAGGGATGTCCACTCTTACCACTGTTATTTAACATAGTACTGGACGTCTTAGCCACAGCAATTTATCAACAAAAAAATAAAAGGCATCCAGATAGGCAAGGAAGAAGTCAAACTTTCACTATTTGCAGATTATCTGATACTCTATATAGAAAACCCGACCTAAATGTGAGACAGGAAACCATCAAAATCCTAGAGGGGAACACAGGCAGCAACCCCTTTGACCTCGGCTGCAGCAGCTTCTTACTTGATATGTTTCCAGAGGCAAGGGAAACAAAAGCAAAAATGAACTATTGGGACCTCATCAAGATAAAAAGCTTCTGCACTGCAAAGGAAACAATCAACTAAACTAAAAGGCAATCAACATATTGGGAATAGATATTTGCAAATGACTTATTGGATAAAGGGTTAGTATCCAAAATCTATAAAGAACTTACCAAACTCAACACCCAAAAAACAAATAAGCCAAGGAACAAATGGGCAGAAGACATGAATAGATACTTTTCCAAAGAAGACATCCAGATGGCTAACAGACACATGAAAAGATGCTCAACATCATTCATCATCAGTTAAATACAAATCAAAACCACAATGAGATACTACCTCTCACCTATCAGAATGGCTAAAGTTAACAACTCTGGAAACAACAGATGTTGGTGAGGTTTCAGAGAAAGGGAAACCCTTTGGCACTGTTGGTGGGAATGCAAACTGGTCCTGTCACTGTGGAAAACAGTAGGGAGGTTTCCTCAAAAAATTAAAAATAGAACCACCCTATGACCCAGAAATTGCATTATGAGGAATTTATCCAAAAGATACAAAAATGATCATCCAAAGGGGCACACACACCCCAATGTTTATAGCAGCACTTTCAACAATAGCCAAATTATGGAAAGAGCCCAAATGCCCACGGACTGATGAATAAAGAAGATGTCGTATATATGTACAATGGAATACTACTGAGAGATGAAAAATAATGAAATCTTGCCATTTGCAACAATGTGGATGCAACTAGAGTGTATCATGCTGAGTAAAGTAAGTCAGAGAAAGATAAATATCATATGATTTCACTCACATGCGGAATTTGTTAAATGCAACAGAGGAACATAGGGGAAGGGAAGGAAAAATAAGATGAAAAGAGAGAGGGAGGCAGACCATAAGAGTCACTTAAGTACAGAGAACAAACTGAGGGTTGATGGAGGGAGGTTGGTTGGGGGGATGGGTTAGATGAATGATGGGCATTAAGGAGGGCACTTTTAAGGATGAGCACTGGGTATCATATGTAAGAGATGAATCACTGGGTTCTACTCCTGAAGCTAAGACTATACTGTATGTCAACTAACTTGAATTTAAATTAAAAAAAAAAAAAAGAAAATCTGAAAGACGCCACCAAAAAACTGCTAGAAATGATAAATGAATTCAGAAAAGTAGCTGGATATAAAATCAACAGTAATCTGTTACGTTTCTATACAGTCATCATAAAGCTGCAGAAAAAGAAATTAAGGCATCAATCCCATTTACAACAGCATCCAAAACAATAAGATACCTAGGAAGAAATTTACCAAAAAGGTGAAATATCTGTCCTCTGCAAACTATAAACATTGATGAAAGAAACTGAAGAGGCCACAAAGAAATGGAAAGACATTCCATGATCATGGATTAGAAGAACAAATATTGTTAAAATGCCTATACTACCCAAAGAAATCTACCCATTTAATGCAATCCCTATCCAAATACCAACAGCATGTTTTACAGAACTAGAACAAACTATCCTAAATTTATATGGAACCACAAAGATCCTGCATAGCCAAAGCAACCTCGAAAAAAGTTGAAGCAAAACTAGAGGCATCATAATTCCAGACTTCAAACTATATTACAAAGCTACAGTCATCAAGACAGTATGGTACTGGCACAAAACCAGACACATAGATTAATAGAACAGAATAGAAAACACAGAAATGAACCCACAACTATATGGTCAACTAGTCTTTAACAAAGCAGAAAAGAATATCTAATGGAAAAAAGTCTCTTTGACAAGCGGTACTGGGAAAACTGGGCAGCAATGTGCAGAAGAATTAATCTGGACCACTTTCTTACACCATGCACAAAAATAGATTCAAAATGGATGAAATACCTAAGTGTAAGATAAGAAACCACCAAAATCCTAGAGGAGAACACAGGTAGTAACTTCTTTGACCTCTGCCGTGGCAACTTCTTACTAGACATGTTGCCAAAGGCAAAGGAAACAAAAGCAAAAATGAACTATTGGGACCTCACCAAGATGAAAGCCTTCTGCACAGTGAAGGAAACAATCCACAAAACTAAAAGGTAACATGCAGAATGGGAGAAGATATTTGCCAATGACATATCTGATAAAAGGTTAGTCTCCAAAATCTATAAATAACTTATAAAACTCAATACCCCCAAAACAGATATCCAATTAAAAATGGGCAGAAGACTTGAATAGGCACTTTTTTCCAAAAAGATACACAGATGGCCAACAGACACATGCAAAGATGCTCAACATCACTGATAATCAGGGAAATGTAAGTCAAAACTACAATGAGATACCACCTCACACCTGTCAGAATGGCTAAAATTAACAACTCGGGACACAATGGATGTTGGTGAGGATGTGTAGAAAAGGGATGCCTTTTGCGCTGCTGGTGGGAATGCAAACTGGGGCCGCCACCCTGCAAAAACAGTATGGATGTTCCTCAAAAAGTTAAAAATAGAACACCCTACGCCCCAGCAATTGTACTACTAGATATTTATCCAAAAGATACAAAAATACTAATTCGAAGGGATACAGGCCCCACCCCCGCCATGTCTCTAGCAGCAGTATCATCAACACCCAAACTGTGGAGAGAGCCCTTATGTCCAGTGACTGATAAATGGATCAAGAAGCTGGTGTATATATAGAATGGTATGTTACTCAACCATCAAAAAGAATGAAATCTTGACATTTGCAAGAACGTGGGTGGAGCTAGAGAAATGAAGTGAAATAAGTCAGAGAAAAACAAATACCATATGATTTCATTTGTATGTATAATTTGAGAAACATAGGGTCAAAGGGGAAAAATAAATAGAGACAAAGCAAGAAACAGACTCTTAACTAGAGAACACAATGATGGTTACAGAGGGGAGGAAGGTGGGGAATGGGGGAAATAGATGATGGGGGTTAAGGAGGGCACCTGTTGTAATGAGCACTGGGCGACGTGTGGAATCACTATAGTCTACACACGAAACTAATATCACACTGTACGTTAACCAACAGGAGTTAAAATAAAAACCTAAAAATAGTTAAGTGACATAAAGATGAAAACCCTTGGGCCCAAGTTGGGTACTCTCCCACTTACCAACAGATCCTTCATGGACCTGATGTGTTTAGCACAGTCAGCTGCTTAGAATCTGGTTTTCTCAGTTCCCTCTTCTGAAGTTTGGATGAACAGGCAATTCAGAACTGAGAGTGGGGAGTAGAGGCAGAGTGTGCTCTGCCTTCAACTCGAGTCAGTTAAGGACAGAAACCCAGCAGGTGGGAAGAGGTGTGGCCCCATGTGCAGGGATTGGTCGACAGATGGCGCCTTGCTCAGTCTGCTTATAAAGACCCCTGCAGGTGGGACAGGGCTATCCTATGTGATCCACTACGGATAGGAAGAGCCTTCATGGTCTGGGTTGCATGAAAGAACTTAGCAATAGTGCTTTTCCTTTCAGCAGAACTTTCCTTCGAAGAGCCCCACAGTCATGACCACATCCATTCTGCACAAAATCACAGAGTATTCTGGGATACACTCGTACCCACATCCAGGGAGTCAGTTCTACCCCCAGGCACTCCCTGCGAGTAGCCATGTATTTGGGGAAGCTGCACCCACTGGAGATCCAGTGCATTGAAACATGAGGGTGTTTCATGTGCTGGAGAACAGGTAATGGGATTACTGAATGAATGTTTCACTCATTTGAATAGTTTGTATCTTTGAGACAGTGCCCACCATGAGTAAATGGCACCCCAGGGGCCAAGAGGAGCCCACGGCCTTTTGCTAACTTGCTTTGCATTCTTTTCTGCTGAAGGATTTTCCCTTCTCATTGAATGCATCTGGAAAATCAAAAGGAGAAGAGCCATACCTGTAGTATTCGTCTCCGACAAAGAAAAGGGTCTTCTGCACATCCTTGAGGTAGACGGCAGCATCTATTCGCTGTACATACCTTGGGAAGCCAAAGTCATAAATAGTGCGAGGAGGACCTTGCATCTGGAATCCTCTTGTTACCCAGTAGTGGGGGCCTGAAAACAGAAATTAAGTTTACAAAAACTCTGGGCGCCTGAACGGCACAGTCGATTGAGCGTCCGACTCTTGAGCTTGGCTCAGGTCGTGATCTCACAGTTGGTGAGTCTGACCCCCAAATGGGGCTCTGTGCTGATGGTGCAGAGCATGTTTGGGATTCTCTCTCCTTTTCTCTGCCCGCCCCTCTCTGCTTGTGCACTCTATCAAAAACAAAACAAAACAAAACCTTAAAAAATTTATATATGAAAAAAGTTTACAAAAATTCTGTGCCACTCAGTAAGGCATTTCATTCATGAGGATCTCTATGCATGGTCACGACGGGAGTGGTTTATGGGATAGTCACTGTGGCTATTACCCAATATATAAGATTTTATTCAATTAAAACTACTCTTGAGGCAAAAATCTCAAGCGATGCCTTAAGAAAGCAATAACGTTGATACAATTGGGTCTTACATTTAACACATTAATTTTTTCAAGACACTTTCCATGTGTACAATCTCATTTGGGTCTCGTACGCGTGCATGGGAGAGGACGGGTGTGGGACGTGCCAGTGCTGTGATTCTTAGGCTGGCACCAGCCTTCCGTCTTTACCTAACCTCAGCATCAAGAAAAAGGAGCTAAAAGTGACAGTTGTCCCTAACTGGGTAACGTCCACTGGCTAGCCATTGTCGCATCTCCAAGGTCGGTGTTACTATAATCACTGTGCGAAGCGAATCATGAAGAGAATTGGCCAGAGTCACGCAAACAGGAAAGGGCTGGAGCCAGGGAGTGACACTGTGCATGCCCACCTCCTGAAACCACAGGGGTCCTTCCATGCCCAGCTGCCTCCCGCAGGACACATAGCAAGGGTGCTGTCCTCACACGGGGTTCTGTGTTGGCTTCTGTTCACCGGAGGATCTCAGTGGGATGTGCCACTTTGCGGGGCAGGAGCCGGGTCTGTAGCCCCCGGGGGTGGTGTCATTTAGCACGGTGCCTGTCTTGGGTAAAGTCCTGGCTCTGACAGTCATTGCCATTCTTGCCATTGTTGTAACGGCAGAGTGGCATCTCCCACCCAACCTGAGGAGGTGTGACTGGAACACGCTCCATGATCACGGGACAGAGGCTGACCGCACCAGATGTCCCAGCATTCCGGGCCCTGCCCCCTGCCGTGTCTTCCCTTTGGGGGTCTGTCGAGTACCTTTGAAGAAGTAGGCGGTGCCCCTCTCGGCCACTTCATAAGCTGCGTCCACGTTGGACATAAGCTGGGGGAAGGAGCTGGTAATGGTGCTGGGCCGGATCCCAGCCATCATGTGCACCTGACGACGCCAGAAAATCCTGTTGGCCAATGGACAAGACATCAAGGTTGAGGTTGATCTTAAACGGGACTCGGACTGAAACGTACTGCCAGCCACACATCAGAGGCCATTTCTAAATGCCTCTCATCCTTGCCTTGTTTGCAAAGAGAACATCAGTTTTTTGACCTTGGTAAATAGCTTTTCTCCCTTTTTGTTCTTTTTTGTTCCCTTTTGTTCTTTTAGCATCTCTGCAATCCCCTTTTACTGGTGATGTACATATTTCAGCTGTGCACCTTCCATCGGAACTATCTCTTGGTACACATGTCCCTTTACTACTGTGATCTTTTAAAAATGAAGATCTCACAAAAAGAAAATTCAATCCAGGTTAACATTATGAGTATTACAAATGAACCAAAACTTTGTGGTTAGGAGATGCGAATTATTCCCGCCAGAATCATTAGCCAGCAAGAACATTAACCGTGATCAGTTATACTGCTGATATACTTAGCTATTCAAAGTGTTCATATCCTTGAAGGTGATGGCTTGTTAACAGAAAATCTGGCACGCACAAATTAACGTGAGGTTTAACAACTCTTCCAATATTGTTTCCATAAAACCATGGTGGTACCACAAGGGCATTGGGCTGAAACTGTCAATATAAATGTGGTCCATTTTGAATTTTGGAGGTCAAAGTCATTTTTACAAAACATGAAGAGCTGACTTGACTCTGCAGAAACTAGAACCTATACATAAAATTATTTATCGAGAGTGAAACTGTAATAAAGTTTTGACATTTAATTTTCTGGGAAGTTAGGGTAGGAACTCCTCAATCTTACGTTGGGTTTTCGTGTTCAGTTAATTTAACAGATACAGCGAGCGCCTATCGGCAGGGACTGTGGCAGATACCAAAGATGAAGCACTGAACAGACCCAGGCCTAGCCCCCAAGGAGCTACAGTTCTCCAGACGGGTATGTAACTAGGCAAGTATAATTCAGACAGGTAGGTGATTAGGCGGTTATGACCATAATTACAACCAGGTAGTTGTGCTGCAGAGTCAAGTTCAGGACGCCCTGGGAGCACAGCGCGTGCCCCACAGGACGCAAGTTCCGTCGCATTCAGCGTTGCGGTGAAAGTGTCCCAGGGGAGGCGGTGGAAGCTGATGTTGAAATTTAAAAGAGCTTTATTACAAGAGACATGTGTTCGTGTTTCCTAAGTAGCATCATGATGCAGAAGGAAAAGCCCATCGTGTTTTAGAAGACATGGGCTTGGGTTCTAACTCTGACCGGCATCTCTAAGCTCAGTCCTATCATCTCTTAGATACAACTACTGATACCTGGCCTGTCCCATGAGTCATTACGAGGGTAACGAGATAGTGATTGGAAAGTGTATTATCAACTGTAAAGTGCCAAATAGCGAGATATTGTCCATCCTAAAAATTATTATTTGCCTAGTTTCTACCCACCCACCAATTGGGCACCCCAGGGTGGCAGGCATCCATGTAGGGCACCCCCCCCCCCCCCCCGCTGTCCAAGCCCTGCACATCACAGTCTTATCTAGAACATGTATTAACAGATGAAACACCAAGACCCAGGAAGGCTGGTGGGCCCAGAGGTCATCTGGTGGTTAGCGGCAGACAGAACTGTCTTGATTTTCATCTCACACTGATCTCCTCCACATGTTCACTCCCAGCCCCAGATCTCAGGTTTCCTCTGTTCATAACCTGGTGCCTCGTCCAATCAGAGCTATCCTTCTCTGAAGGCAAGAGGGACCCCCTTCCCTTCTCTCTCTCCACCACCAGGACAGGAGGACAGGTTTGGGAACCCGGAAGATTTTGGGTAATGAAAACAAAAAGGTCAAGTTCATAGTCTGTCGTCTGATTTTTGTTAACAAAAACCTGATGAGAAATCCAAAAAATCAAGTGTTTTTCACTTAATTCAATATCTAGGTCTGAAATGCTGACTGTTCATGTCACGGTGCTAGATGCTGACCGGGGCACCGAGTGAGCATGCGCTGCAGGGATGAGAATGCTGGGGAAGAGGAGGTGAGGAGAGCGGGCAGAGAGGAGCAGACACCGGGGATGAGTCACCACCTGCATCAGGTCTCTGACGAGGCTCAGACAAATTCCTACTTCTTTCTCCTTGGGCACCATAAAGCTGGGAAATATTTCCATTAATTTTCATTTAAAAGTCAACAGGTGACTTTCGGCAAACTTAAGCCTCATTCTCAGGTGCAGTAGGGACACAGATGTCCCGAATGACTCAGGAGGAGAGGGAGGAAAATGCAGTGATCAGGAGAAAACGTACTGTCAGAACTTGTCACACGTGGCAGAATCTAAAATTCCTTTCTAAAAACACCTTGACTTCAGATACTGCAGGTATTGCGAGGACCAGGTCGAAGGAAAGTGGGCATTCTAAATCAAGAGCGATCTTGCGCCCCCGGAGACATTTGGCAATGCTTGGGGACAAGTTTGCTTGTTGTACCTGGGGACGGTCAGTACTATTGGGGTGTAATGGGTGGAGACCACGGATGCCAGTAAACATCCAACCATCCACGAACAGCCCAGCCAACCAAGACCTACCTGGTCAAACATCAGTAGTGCCCAAGTTACGAAACCCTGGTTGAAACACTGTCACAACGTATTGTAATGCGTAAACTGGACACATAAGGTAGAAATAAATACTGTCCATCCCTTACATAAAACAGCGCAAGTTCCAGAATAATCTGTAATCATGAACATTTTCAGGACGCTAATGGTGGGTAGTGAAGCAACAGAACCCATACTCAGAGGATACACAAAGTTGGAGCTATTGATGACAATAATAAATGAATGAAAATTGACAACGCTCTCCCACCGAGTACGGCAAATAATCTCCTGATTCATCTGTCAATGGGTTTAAAATCTAAGCAAAAAGAAAGACAATCCCCGTACTTCTTGGACAAGGCCAGCTGGAGGATGTACTGGAACTGGCAGTGGGAATAGGTAAACACCCCGTCGATAGTCTGTAATCTGATCTTTGATAAGAGGGGCAGGACAATGGGGCTTATTGACAGGATAGATCTGCTGATCATACATTTAGCTGCACTGTTTATCTCTTGGTTCCCTGGAGCCAGTGCCGTGCCTGGCACGTGGTCAGGGCTCAGTAAATATTTGCTGACTTCATAAGTCGGTGCCAGGGATGGAGAGGAGCTAAAGAGATCACCAACTTTCATAGTCTCTGAAATTTGTATTCCCTTTTCCTAAAGAACAGCAGCTAATTCACCAAGTTTGAGATTCGTTTACCCACAACCTTTACCTGGCGTTCACCTGGGGCCGGGTCATGGCTTATCCATCTTTCTAGCCCCCGAACACCAGGGCACTTGCTCCACATTTGCTCAACTTTTGTTCTTTCTTGGTTGTACCAACCGTCTTCACTCCCCACTGGTGTGGGCTGAACCCGTCCGTCTGTCTGTCCCTCACCTCTCATTTCAGGAGAGGCCTCCACCTCCTCACCGTCCGACTGTCAGGGTAACTCAGCATGAGCCAAATGGGGACCTTTACTTTTCCTTGACTTCAACCCTCTGTCCTCCTTGACCGCTCTTCTCTCTAATCCTGCTCCCTAGTTTCAGGGGGAAGAAGGATCTTTCTTCTGTGTTTTTGATGCTTTTGGTCAAATTTCTGCTCATGTCCCACGGAGGTGGGGCTGTGTGGCCTTGTGACCTCGTGTGTATCACTCAATTTTTGAGACTCAATTTCCTGTCAAATAAAAGTGAGATATCATGCTATCTGTGCTGATACTTCAGAGGATCGATTGAGATAATGCACATAGAAGTGTTTTAGAAGCTCTCGACTACTCTTAAAATAATTTGTAGATATCGTAGGAAGACATGTTTCCACCCTGCAAACGTACTGATTGGTGATAGGTAACCTTGAAGTTAGTAGAGCTACATTTCTTTCTAAATCTGTCTCGCCGATGTGAAATTTTTGTCTTTGGAAGCTCTGAAGTCCAAACTATCACATCATTGTCTGATAGGCCACTTGTTTTGGGGGTTCCACTAACCAGATAGACGCCAAGAAATAAAACAGTCATCGCTCATCTCCTGGAGCCCAAGGAAGACACAGCTTATAAAATTGAAGACCCGTATGTAGACAGTGCTTAAAAACGGCCAGAGCAGAGCGTGGGGTCCTTAGCTTGTTTATACCCCTCTGAGGAGCCTGGGCGTCCATATTTATCAGCCAGAACCTGTGAAGCTGTCAAGGCTCATCCTCAGCCAGGAGGGTGTTCGGAAGGGACAAGGAATCCGGGCTTCTACTCTACCTTCTGCCCCTTTGTTGGAATTCTTGAATACACAATGGAGAATCAGTCCAAGTAAATACACTGTCTCCCGCTCCCTTTCCATGATGCAATCTCATACTCAGAAAAAACACATTGTCAGGGAGCCTTCAGGTGTGCAGGCTGGGCTCAAAGCCACGGAGTCCTGGGGGATGCCAGACACAGAAAGTTCTAGTTTATTGTCCCTCCTTCCCCAGGAGCTTCGCACTTATGTTTCTCCACTGGCTCCTTGTCATGCCTTCTACCATGTCTGGTTATTTTCCCACATTGGACCCTGCTGCCTGACCCAGCCATTAACTTACCTCTCTCTGCTACCAACAAGACTCTCAGGTGAACGACCCGTATCTACCGTTTCCACATGCCCCCCAACTTTTGTTCTTTTGCTCCCCAGGACCTGGATTCCTTCCTCACTCCTCCGCTGAAATGACACCCCTCATCCTGGCCAGCCTATCTCTTTTCTTCAGTCCTCAGTCTGATGGGCTCGGCATCCTTTTCCACCATTGATCGCGTTTGGTGGGGGGCCAGGGGGGCGGGGAATCCTCTTTTCCTTCATTTATTTGAGGTTCCATGAAGGGTTTCTGTCTCTGATGTCAAGTAGGTTTAAAATTCCAGCTGGGGAAAAGAACACTGTGCATACATGAGTAAGCGTCTGGAAAATGCTTAGCACAGCACAGTGCAGGTGATCGTGGAATGTCAGATGTTATTATTAGGGTTCATTTTCAGATCCTCC